GTGAGACCCCCTGAATTCCTAAATCTGCCCATGTCCCCATATGTACCACCTTCCACTCACTCTTTTGGCTGCTTGTCTAGGTGGTTACCCCACACCCACTGCTGTGCTGGAGAAGCATGTGCTGTCTTGTGTGCTGTGCATCACATGAGGACCTGAAAAAACCAAGCCTCAGGGTCATGCCCTCAGCTGATGTGAACTGCCAGAAGTCCCTGGAAGTTGGTTCAACCAGGCAGATCTTCACCAGCTCATGGTCTGACCTCGGTGCTCTCTGAGCTTCAGAGAGAGTTCACAAGGGGCATTACTAACTCTGCATCCAGCCTATTCTGGAAAAAGCAGGGAGGGAAAGGGGCCCACAGGGGAAGTTGAAGGAGGAGAAAGAGAAGACAGGGAGGAGAGTGGGACAGAGGGAGGGAGCAACCTCAGGGATGTTTGCAGCAATCCAAAAACCTAGGGAAATTGGGTCATTGTTCCACTAATTCATCTAATTACAGGCCAGAACAGCTCTCTGCTATGTCTCCTGTGTGCTGAGCAATTAGCACTCCTTCTACTCTTGCTCCCTGATGTACAGCGGGTACAAACCTGCCCCTTCAGAAAGAGGAGTTCTGTTTCCTAGGATACACAGACAGGAGGAACTATTTAACATCAAATCAGGTTGTTACAACTGAGTTCCTGTCCCCCTTCTGCTTATGATGATGGATTTGAAAATGGTAAATTGGGAAGCACTGAGAAATAAACACCTGTTGTCTAGCTAACCTGGAAGTTGCTTTGGGCCGTGGTTCTTGCCTGACGGTATCATGCCACTGCATTTAATAATAAAAACGTCTGTTAAGGTAATGCCTAAGACCCTACCACAAAGCAAGCTCTTGCTCTGGGTGCTGGACAAACACAAGTGCGGCCGACTGACACCGCACCTAGGAACAAGACGAGTAACAGGGTGGTATTCAGGGTGTGAATAATGGGGACAGGGGAGAACACTGTGCTTGTTCCATATTAGCTTTCAGGAAGAGGGTTACATGGAAGGGGACAAAATAAAAAGGGAAAGAAACTGAAGTGAGAGGGCTATCAAAGGGAAGGGGAGAAGGAGACAAGGCAGGGGAGATTAATAGATGTGGAGTAGAGCTCAAGTGAAGTATTGGAGCCAACAGTCACTCAGTACAAGGTTGTCAAAGTCCAGTTTCCCCTGTAGAAAGCCCCATGAGCAGCTGAAGATCTCTGCTTTGGCTGTTTCTGCACTTGTTCCTACTAGTTGGAGTCTCTGGCTAGTTCCTTTTTGTAATTTTCTCTCATGACCACATGGACCCTGGGGTTTTAGTGCCCCCCAGCATGGCAGAGCATTTCCTCTGAACCATTCTGGAAGTGTCCAGGAAGGTGTCCCAGCTTGGCCCCTATAATGCCTTTTCTCCTCTCCCAACTCCAAAAGCAACAATCCCAGCTTCA